TTGCTTCATAAATTCAGAAGCTGTAGATGATCAAGTTATTTCTCTTATTGCTTTTGTTGTGATATTTACTTTGTTATGAGAAGAACCTCAAATTACAGTTTTTATTTTTAATAGAAATATATTTGAGATTTGACCCTAAGGAAAGTATAACCGATGAAGTTGGAAAAAAGAAAGTAGCTATGCACACACCCCTGTCTTCCTCCCCATGCCCTAACCTCAGCCTCTTGGCCAGTCATTGACCTATTTTCCTAGTAAGCCCAGGCTTCAATTGTGTTACCTGGCTGAGTCACAGTGGGGGTTTATGGAGGACGATCTGGCAATTACACTGTGTTCCTAGATGCAATGTACATTCATAAATCCTCTGGTGCATGAAGTCGAAAACCTCATGACTTAGCGAGGAAAAAAGTTGTATAAGCCATCAGAGAAAATAAAGCATATAGTGACTATATCAGTGATAAAATTTCACTTGAAAATCTACTACAGATGCAACTGGTTTTATTACTAAATTTGTTCACGGGCTAATTATGATTATCTGTCAATAGCCTTCAGATATTAGAATTGTTTTCTCTCAGCCACCAAATATTTCTACCCAGCGACAGATGGTTTATCTTCCAATCCTCTTAGATACATAGAATTTCCTGTGGAATAACAGCCTATGAGTCTGCTCAACACATGAATGAAACTGAGGATCTGCACTATCTTGTCTTTAGAGAAGAGACAGTAAGCAAATAATACCTGTGCTCCAAAGGGTCAAAGGGCAAGGAGAGAATGAGTTCCAGGCAAGGCTTTCTTTTTTTAAATAGTACTTGATTCACATGCCAGGCCCTTCCCCATTTCCTGTTGTCTGTCTTGCCTTTATTTAGGATAATTATGGCGGTAGTGCAGTATTCTCAGGCTGAATTCCTCAGGAGGTGCACAATAGCTCACAGTTGGCCAGAATCTTAGTATTTTCTGTGTAAGGTAGGGAAGGCTAACTTCTTTTAGATAATGATTCTTTTTGTTACATTTTTTAAAAATACATTAATTTTGGACTAAACATCATGCTTTCATTCACCACCACTTAATATTCGCCCCCGAGTCTTTCTGGCTTCAGAGACTGTACATGTGACTTCTTTTTTTTTTTTTTGGAGAGGTTTTTGTTTTTTTTTTTTTAGGGGGCTTGTTTTGTTTTTGCTATAGAGCATGTGCACTTGCCAGACAGAGACAGAGAAACAGAAAGCGAGAAATCACCCCCCAGGGGGGACGGCCACGTATCTTGGGCATGCACGCACATGCGCCCGGCATGAGTTTTAAGCCACAGGGTCCGGGACACGAACCACAGCCGACTACCTGGGAGTCCAGCGACATAGCCATTACACTAACTGCTGGTCCCAACTGTACATGTGACTTCTGAGCTATACAACAAATATCAGGTCACAGATCAAAGCCCACTCAACCCCAAATAGCTCACATCTAAATTTTTACCTATGCTATTTCTTCCAGGCCACTCATCCTAGTTTTAACTGCTTTTGGCTTTAAGTGAAGCAAAGAGCAATGTTTTAGAAATATTCTAATAAGTAAAATGCCCATTTATTCAACCATTATATGTTAAGCACCTCCTGTGATCCAAGCATGTCCTAGGTGGGAAGTCCACAGATGACAGTGCTTGCCCTTTAAGAAGGTCAAGTCATAGTAGGAGACGCAGAACCTCAAAGGTATTATAATCTATGCTGAACCAGAGATAAGGAGCAGCAAAAGTATGCAGAGAATGCAGGCTCCCTTTTCAAGAATTCCCCAGGCAGAGAAGAGGCAGGTAGAGTGGCAGGAACAGCACACTCAGTGTCAGCTGAGTTGGGAAGGGAATGGCACGCTCCATCCCATTAGCGGTGAAAAGCTCAGGAAGGCTGAGGAGAGGTGCGTGGTCATGTAAGGAAGGGCAAAGACTGTGGGGGAGGTGTCCAGCAGGAAATAGCCTTAGGTATGAATTGTGGACATCTAGTGAAAGCCTTAGAACACCAGGCAAAAGACTTGACCGTTTATGATGCAGGCGAGGCAGTGGCACAACAGGCAGTATCAAGCACCGGGAAGGAATGAAGACGACAGGGACCAGAGTGTAGGTCTGCCCTTCCCAGTTATCCTTCATTACTGCCATGGAGGAATCCCAATATGTGCAAATCTTCTGACTCACAAGACAAGCCAGGGATTCAAATTTTAATCTAAAATCTCCAACTTTTTTTTTTAATTGCCAGAGGGCACATGTGCTCACCAGAGAGAAAGAGAGAAGGTAACCCCTAAAGGGCCATAGACATGCTGCAATCCTTTTTCCTTCATCCTGCTCAGACCCTGGGCACATGCAAGACATGTGTGGCATATTCTGAAGCCACGAGGACTGGGCTTCAACTTGTGGACAGCCATGGGGGATCTGGCTGCCAACACACTGTGCGTAACCATTGCTCTCTGGGGCCAGTTCAAAATATCCAACTTGTAAGTATCAGCAGGTAAACTCCAAATTTAAAACAAAACAAAAACAACAACAAAAACCTCCACAAAACCCGAAACAGTGTAAGCTGAGCAAAACATTTCAACATTTGAATCTGGGTTTAACTTAGGCAGGTGGCTTGTTCTCTCAGTTGGTATGACAAGTCCAATCTTTAGTAAAACCCAGAGAAACTATCATATTCTCATATATAGTGAGAAAAGTAAAGCAGATCAAATCAATTTATAATATAATCATATATAATGAGAAAAGTAAAGCAGATCAAATCAATTTATACTTTTTAAGTATACTCCAAAAACAATGATTTCTTCCCTAAGATGATTTTTCACATAGTCTACCAAAGTTCAGACTGAACTTCTGAAACTATTTTCTTCTGCACCAGTTGAAGATATTAATCTTCAATGGTAAAATAAGATATAATCTATGATTAGATGTACACTAACCTTTGGATTGTTAAAATCATTTCATTGGAGGTCATTAAACTGAGGTAGTTTTAGCATCCTGCGTTCCTTCCCAGGCAAGCATTGCAACACTCGGCTTGGAATGAACGGTCATATCCTAGGGAGACCCATGGAAGCGTAATCAATCAGAAACATTAACTAACCTCTAACTAGGACTTTAAGGTTACTGTTTCACTTTCACCAATCAAATATTTTGTCTTGCTTCCTCCAACACCTTATCAATGTTTCCTTTTCACTCTCTTTGGTGAAGCCCAGACTACTTACAATTTGGTAATTTATGATTTGCTGTCTGTTAAATAAACTGTTAGGTCATCGGGAAAGTCATGACACATTTTTCTGTTCTTCTATGCAAAACTGTCACAACTTTCCCAAGACCCAATATTTAAAATTCTAATGTGCTTCAATTTATCTTGTAACAAATACACTGGCTAGTGAGAAGTTACTGCTTTAAAGAAACCTCTGAAACATTCAACATTTAACAATTTGAGTAAGTCCAAGAGAAATACTTCTGTGAAAAAAAAAAAAAAAAAAAAAGGGGGGTAAAAAGGTGGTATCTGTTACCGGTTGGAAGACAGGCACTGAGAAAGTCTATTGGGAGGAATGGTATTCCATTTATTTGAACCATATTCCCTAAGGATGTGAGAGTATCGCATGATGTGCCTGAAGACTGACGAGGCTACCTTGGTGTCCTCCCAGCCCCCACTCATCACTCAACTGAGATTTAGCTTCTTGAAGTTGGCTGCTGAGACATTCTGCTCAGGAATGAACATAGTCGAAGCCACTTCAGATGCAGAGGGGGAAACAAGGCTGAAAGTTAGAGACATTGGATGTCTGAGGGAGAGAGTTCCAGGCAGAGGAAATGGCAAGTTACAAATGTCCGCAAGTGGGAACAGTTTTCTTCTTCAAAGGGAAGTAGAGGCCACTCTGGCCAGAGGGCAGTGAGCATGAGTAACTGAAGGCAGAGGAGAGGACGTCAAAGAGCAGGGAAGGGCATGGGAGGCAGATGGGTACAATCAAGTCTCGGGCTTTTACTCTGAGTGGAATGGGAAGCCCTGAGAGGTTTGGAGAAGCAGAGATACAGGCCTTGACTCAGGAAGTCGAGGGGAGAAGTCATGGGGAGAAATAGTGGAATGTTTTATGCACAGTGATAAAGTTTGCCTAAAAAATGAACCAACTATGGGGTGTGAGAGATAGGAGTCAAAGATGATTCCAAGTCTTCAACTTGAGTAACGGCAAAGAAAGTTGCTGTTTTATTGAGATGGGGAAGCCTAGGGAATAAAGCTGCTGATGGCAGTGGTTGGAGTTTGGGGGAGAAGGCAGCAGAATTCATATTGGATATGTGCAGAGGAATCCATTGGACTTCCAAGTGGAGATGTTGATCAGGAAGTTGGATTTTCAAGTTAGGAAAGAAGGGGACTAGACTCTAACGAACAACAAAGCAGGTGGATCTCCCATGGCCAAATGAGTGATTAGAGTCCTAGGCCCTGCAGCTTGAAAAATACACCAGGCATGTGTGTACATGCGTGCCCCAAATCCTGAAAGGAGAAGAAAGAAGGGACTGCAGTGTGGCCATCCCTGCTAGGGGGTGTTTTCTCACTTTCCCTCTCTCTCTCTTCCTCTCTCTCTGTGTCTCTTTCTGGGAGCATGTGTACCCTAGCAAAATTTTAAAAAATAAAAGAGGGAAATTATAAAATAACTCTTTTGAAAGTTTAAAGGCATTTTCATTTATATCATCACCATTTTTATCTCAAGGCATTTTCATTTATATCATCACCATTTTTATGTCGCTAGTTAAATTCTATAACAAGGGCTGTAAAAGAAGTGGCTAAAGTCAGATCGTGGTTCCTCAAGTGAGGGCCTTAGGCTAAGGCACCACCACCACCATCAATGGGCTGTTAGAGAGGCAGGCCCAACCCAAGCTAGGGAGTCAACTCAGCAGATAGGGCCCCAGAAACTGTCTCGAGGGCTTTCCAGGAGATTGTTATGCTCAGTAAAGAAAGAGTGAGTTAGGTGACAAGAAACTTAGTATTTCAAGGTTTTAATCAATTTCAAACAAATATCTTTTTTAAAAAAGGAATGATGTCTTTATTGTTTGAAGCATAAAAAAGTAAACAAAAATTGGTATGACATTTCATTTCTTGGTCTCTTCAATGAGGTTATAAAAATACAATGCCACTTTGTAATTTGGAAGTTCACACTTCGTATGGTATAAAAAGGCACTTGCAACACCCAATATGATGATTTTAAAAAGCCAAAAAACACCTCATAGATACAATTGAAATTGCTTTGAGGAAAATTTCTACATATAGACTCCCTCATGGAAAGGACCTCAACTTTTCTTCTTTTCTAAAACACAGATGGCATTTTACCCATGTTATAGACATAAATCATAAATGTGAACTGCCTTTTCTCACCTTGGTTCTTGGGTATTAGAAAAGCAAGCTAAGTTAATTTACCTGCTTTCCTTCACTTCAGTCTTCATTTTGTTTAAGATAAAAAATATTCTTAATTTGTAACCAAGGTCTTTTAGAATGCCTGGCTCATTTTAATTTTGTTTCAAATCACAATTTGATTAAAAAAAATATTTATATAGGGAGGTGATGATGCATTTTTTTAAAGTACTTATTATTGAGCTGTCCAAATCATCCTAAGCAGCAATGTGTCTAAAGCAAGTGTATGCAGATGTGTGCATATTTTTAAATATTGCTGTTGCATCATTCTGGCTTATCAGCATACAGAAATCACCCCAACATAATTTTTGTGAACTATGATCACAGGTTTGAAAATAACCCAAATAAGTGTGGAAATTCTGAGGTTTGGGAATTTTTTTTAGATCATCTTTTCAAAGTATTAGTAAAAAAGGATATATTTTTTTAACTGAAAGAAATACAAATCAGATAGAAAACTCATTCTCTGCATATAGGATGCTGTTCTAGCCTTTCACTCCAAGGCTGTGGTCCCTAAAGAAATACATTAATTGCTTTATAGAATTGCCTGAACATGGTCAACCTGAAACAATGTAACAATGAAATCCAGAGATTGGGTTACTTTCCTGGCAGGATTTGGAGTATGAAGGAAAATGGACATTTTAGATAATATGGGGGGAAAATAGAGAGTCACTTGAATGTTTATCCTTTATTACTGCCACCATGAATGGTAGTGATTTAAATTAGTTCTCGACATTGATCTGTGTGTTTAAGTTGTCCTTAAATATGCCCCTAATGCCCTTCATTCTGTTGCTCACCTTCTTAGAAAATGCCCTGATAGTTAGTGAATGGTTGTGCTGCGTGCAGCTCTTCGCATGACCTCCCTGAGTAGGTATGTTCATTTATTGTGCCTCTGCTCACAATTTTCTACTCAACTTCTCTGTTGGACAACATTGTAAAGCTTTTGCTGATTTTCAAGGCAGTCTTTCAGCTTATCCTCTGTCAAAGTCAGTCGCTGCTCCAAGATAGAAACAGTCTGCAAAAAAGGAGAAAATAGTTCATGCCTGGTGGTGGTGAGTATGAAGACAAAAAATCTCAGTGCAGGAGATCTTTCCTAGAGCTGGGATGTCTACCTTTTTGCCAAAAAGTTGGCTCAAAAATGAACCCTAGGGGGAACCAGCAGTTAGTGTAATGGCTATGTCGCTGGACTCCCACGTAGTCAACTGCAGTTCGCGTCCCGGACCCAGTGGCTTAAAACTCATGCCGGGCACATGTGCGTGCGTGCCCAAGATCCTGAGAGGAGAATGGAGGAGAAGGGATTGTGGTGCGACCATCCCCCTGGGGGGTGATTTCTCGCTTTCTGTCTCTATGTCTCTGTCTGGCGAGCGCACACGCCCTATAACGAAAACCTCTCCAAAAAGTTAAAAAAAAAAAATGAACCCTAGGGGCTAGCAGGTGTTGTGGTGGTTAAGGGTGCTGGACTCCCACATGGCTGATTGTGGTTTGAGTCCTGGACCTGGCGACTTGCTTTCTCACTTTCCCCCTCTCTCTCTCTCTCATTCTGTCCTTCTCTGATCAAGTTAAAATAAACAAATAAGCAAACAAATAATAAATATATGTTAAATAAAATAATTCTTAATAAAAAATGAACCCCAGAACTTGCTTTGATTCTGTACTCTACATAGGCCAAGGCCATATCGAGTGATCTGAAGAAAAGAAAAAACTAACGTATTTGAGAAAAAGGTGTAAAAGATCAGAATTCTGTAGACGATCTTTATGTCTGATCTTCTGAAGCCTCAAGGCCAGGGAAGAGGTCACGCAACATTCTCAGTGGTGCTGTGAACGTCACGGTAGTGTGGGGAGTGAAACACCAGATGCTGGGCTCAGCATCGGAAATGCTCTCACTGGCTATTCTGTTGTAACCCAGCCCAGAGTGGACATACCGATAGCACCACAGATAAATAACTCCATTACTCTGAAATGACTGTAATGATTGCCCCCCATCATTGCCAGCCTCACACAGAAGATAATTATAGTATCCCACGGGCTCGTTAGGAAGACCAAATAAAATAAGGTATATAAAATGCCTGATCTAGTGCTGGGCACATGTAAATTGAGTAACCAAATATTCTGTCTCCTTTGATATGTGTGATTACATATACTCACTTAATAAAATACATACAAAATACATGCATGAGGCTGATAATAAATACCGTTTGTCAAGTGCCATCTGTGTGCCAAGCTTTTTGCCAGATACTTTACATACATTATTGCAGCTCCACATGCTAAAGTTGTTGATACACACACACACACACACACACACACACATACGTATGTATATTATTACCAACACTTTTAAACTGGCCAATTCCATTTACCATTTAAAAGAGTAACTTTATTTTAATTAATTATTATTTCTTATTTGCCAGAGGGCATGTACAATCACTGGAGAGAGAGAGAAGTGAAGAGGCACCCTTCTTGGGGGATAGTCATACTGCAATCCCTTCTCCTTCAGTTCTCCTTCCCATTAGGATTCTGGACACACATGTACATGTGCCCAGTGTGTTTCTCAAGCTACCAGGTTGCGACTCGAACTGCACAGTTGACCATGTGGGATCTAGACGCCTCAGCCACCAGGCCACAGGCCAGCCCATTTTAACTGATTTCTAATTATAGTTTAGCAGAGATAGTTATAAGCATCCTGCAACTTAGACGATATTAAGTCATCTGTAGTTAAAATGAATCAGAACATAATTAGTTTATTTGCTACTTGCTCATGGATTCGCTCTTCCCCTTTTGCAAATGTGCTGTGCTTGCTTTTAACTTGTTTAAAATATAAAGGGAATTCAGTCCTTCAAAATTAAAAAGTCATAGAGAAATCCAATAAAGGTTAAAGTGATGCATTTAACCTTGATTAGGTGAAAATGAAAAAAAGAGGTCATGAAAAAGTGGGGAATGGAAACATTCATTTAGGGGAGAGCCTAATGAGACACTGACATTGAAAGATGACAGCTTAGGTGAGGAAGTCATGGAAATTTAGGAAACAAGCCAACTAAAACTAAATTTGGAATGAAGTTGAGAGGGCAATAGCCTTTAAAAAAAAGAAATGTCTGATAAGTACAGAGAAAGTCACCTCTAGTACAATATCTCAAAGTGGAAATGGATGCTATTAATATGATTTTCACTGAGCAAATCCTATGATGGCTGCAACTTCTCACATAGTCCTTTCCCACAATCTATCAGTAAGTACACACATGACCCCTAACTCCAGTAGCTCAACACACTGGTTGTAAAACGGATTTGATGGGATACCTAAAAGATTAATACCAGGGCCTTATCCCATAACAAGGGGAATGAACCTTGTGGAGGTGAGACCAGGACAGGTGGGTGGTTTTTAGCTGCTTCAAATAATTCCACTGTACAACTAGCATTAAGAACTGAGTTAGGTGATTTCTGTGGAAGAACTAATGTGTTGCTGGAAAAGTCATGACTTATTTTTTCTATGTAAAAATCTGCTATGGGGGCTGGCAGGTGGTATAGTGGTTAAGGTGCTAGACTCTCACATGGCTGACCGTGGTTTGAGTCCTGGACCCGGTGGCTTGCTTTCCCACTTTCCCTTTCTCTCTCTCTCTCTGGTGGAATTTAAAAAATAATAACAATAAATAAAATTTTTAAAAAATTCTTTAAAAATGTGGTAAGACTTTTCCAACAACCCAGTATTTCTTTTTTTTAATTTAATTTTATTTATTCACTCATTTATTTTAATTTGACTAGAGAACTAGAGAGAGACACACACGGAGAGAGAGGAAAGTGAGAAAGCAAGCCGCCAGGTCCGGGATTTGAACCATGGTCAGCCATGTGGGAGTGTCCAGCACCTCAACCACCATGCCACCTGCTGGTCCCACAACCCAGTATTTCAAGTTGAAGTATTTATTCTGGACAAGTAATTGGCACCTCTCTGTATCACATTTTATCTTCCCTTTTTGTATAAGTTGCGACAATGTCCACTCTGACATACTAGTGTTCTCACTGTACACATCAAAGAGGAACAGAAGACTTCTTCAAAGGAAGCAGTGACTCAGCGGAGATGGAAGAGAAACTTCTGGTGTATCCATTTCAACATACCACTTCCTTTATATTACATCTATTCCTTCTCACCAAGACTTTGAAGATTTTGATGCATTATTTAATATATGCTACATTCCTTCTTTGCAAGGTAAATTGGTCCCAAAGGACTGGAGAATGTTTTATAATGAGAATTAAAAAACTTCACCTCTGGAAGAACACTGGATCAACATAGTAAGATCCAGAATAAGGGAAGTAATACACTGGATAGTGAGAATGTTTTCAGAGTGAAAACAAAACAAAATTTGACAGAATTTCTTCCTAACCAGAAATAGTTACTATTAATTCATTTTTTAATAGCCCTAAATATTTATGAATGGTCTAATCTGAATGTACTGCATCACAGATTCTAAGGGTAAAACATTACAAAATATTACTGCCTAGAACCAAATACATTTATAGCATGGAGATCCACTGCTGTTCTGTAATGCCCACACTGCTCCTTTCTAGCCCCCAGATCCCAGAGATAGAAATAGCAGATTGTGTGATTATGAAATTGTGTGTGCATGTGTGTGTGTGCATGCACACAAGCACACATGTGCATGGACTCTGAGCTTATACCTTCAAGTTTTCATTTATAGCTGGCAGCTGACAGGCCTTGCTATATGGATTGCTACCTTGAGTTTGCCTTACTAGTAAAGAAAATTTTCACTTGCTACACCATTTTTTTTTTAAGGGAGAGATTTTTTTTTTGGAGAGGTTTTCGCTATAGGGCGCGTGCGCTTGCCAGACAGAGACAGAGAGACAGAAAGCAAGAAATCACCCCCTAGAGGGGATGGTCACGCCGCAATCCCTTCTCCTCCATTCTCCTCTCGGGATC